ATAAATCTATTCTAGATTTGAAACCAAGGACCTTGGAATTTGGTTTGAGTTTGCTTTTGATTCAGAGTCATATAAATAGTTTGAAACTTGATGACCGTTACCGAAACGTAAATTATTTATATTATTTTTGTCCAAGACTAAATTCAAACCTTCGAGTTTGCTGCATTCCTACTAACATGTCATGCAACAGCAACATAAATCTTAATTTCAGCAATGTTCGTCACTACAGAAAGTAAGACTAAAATTGTATCTGACATCAAAACAAATATTCTATTGTTGGGTATGTGTAGTGTTGTTGTCAACACTGAAAAAATGATATAATTGGTGCTCAAGCCCTTTAGAAAACTGAACCACCAGTGATCAGATTCAACAAGAACAGTAACGTGCTCATACTGTTTGGTAGTGAAATACTAAGTCATTGACTCTATAAGAACTTTTTGCCTTTTTATACTTTTATTTTTCATTATTTACGTAAAAAAATGTAATGAGAATCTTCTATGCTTAAGAAACTTTCAAAAAATCAGCATGATTCAGAATTTTGGACTGCGATTCAAATTTATCTACCTACGCATTGTTATTAGTAAACCGTCCCTATCATCCCGTCTATCCTTTGTATTAACTAGTGTTTGTACTTAAATGGAATTCACAGTTAATATCAGCAATCTAATGTATGTTACTCTTGAGTTGATTGCATTGTGTTTCATGATTCTTTTAAACTAGAATATCTAAAATATTGATTTATTTTCCTTTATAAACCAATTTGAAATATTTATCATGAATATAGACATATTCTAATGAGTCTCGAAATGAACTAAACTATAATGACTTGAGAATATATTGATTTCCTTACTTTAAACCATCCAATTGGTTGTGTATCATTTGGATAAATTCCTTCAAATTTAAGTAATTTAGATTTTAATACATATAATGGATGTCCATTTAATTCTGATTTTGATTGTGGAATTGGTTGTCGAGCTAATTGATCTTTTTAAAACAAGAATAAATAAAATTCAAATATATTTACAAACTTTCAATTTGTTTATTTTCAACTTGAGAATATGTTGATTTTCTTTTATCTTTTGGTTGATATTTTCTCATTAACTTTTCATACCATTTTGAATCACCATTTGTTTTATGTTCAATATGTGATGTACGATAAGATGTTGTTAACCATTTTTTTGAATATCTTTTTGTTACATCTTTAGCATATGAACTTGATAAATCTGTATCAAATGCCCATACATAAAGCATTGGAAATTTAATATTAATTTCAAATTCTGTTATTGAATTTATTTTTGATGTATAAATATCAATTGGCATATAACCATCATCTATTGATTCAATAAAAAGTTCAATCCAATAATATCGAGGTTTTAAAGAACGTGTCTTTATTTTAGATTTTAATTGTTTAGAATCTGTTGTTGTTGATTCTGGTGAAATAGCTTGATCATTTTTAACTATTTCTGATGAATTCGAAGAAATAACACGAGATAAATCAGATGAATGATCATGTGAATGAAGACGTGATGTATCTTCATTTATAGTACTATTACTATTATCATCATCATCATCGGATAGAGTTGGTTGTTTTTTCTTAATATTTTTTGTAAGACTTCCATGTGGTATATGAAATTTTTCATCTTTTTCTTGTCTTGGTCGAATTGGTGGTAAATCAGCAGAAAATACTAATCGACATTCATATTGAAGAAGACGAACATATATAGCAAAAAGAATAACTCGAATAGATGATAAAGTATTAGTAAGATGTACACTCATAGCTTGACGTAATTTTTCCATTGTTATTGGCTGATTTTCTTGTATATCATTTGATGGTTTATCAATAAGAATAAATATATCATTAAAATATTTAACAAGTCGATGTATGTCATTCATATTTGTTGTTTTACTATTATAAATAAGTGTTTTTGTTATTGATTCATCAAGTAATGAAAACATAAGTGAACGTAATTCTTGATTATTAATATATGTTTTTATTAAATGAAACCCATGACCAAGATTACAAACAATATGATGTTTATGTTTTTGTAAAAAATTTTTTTTTAATACACGTTTTAATTGAAGTTCTAATTGATGTTCTTTAGAATTAAGATTTTTTTTTCGTTTACCTTGAGTTGCAGCAACTTCATCACTAGTTAAATTTACTTCAACTTCATCATCGATTTTAATTGATTGTTTTTCTTCACGTTCTTTAAGTAACTAAAAGTAAAATTTTTATTAAGAAGATTTCGAGAAAGATTTATTACTTTTTGAATAGCAACTTCTTCATTAGGCTTTGAATGAACATTTTCCCATGCATCATCATCATCATCATCATCGTCAGAATCAGTATCATTCTCATCGCTTATTGTTGTTGCTAATTGAGAAATTCAATTAATTTATATTTTATCTTAATTTAACTTACGTTTTGTTGTTAGATTGGTAGTATTATTAGATAAAGTTGCATTTTCATCAATACTTTGATTATTTGGTTTTTCAGTCTTGTTTTTGCCTTTTGATTTTGCAGTAGATTTTTTTCCTGTTGGTTTTTTATTAAAATATGGTGATGTTTTTGTAGTTGTTGTTGATGATTTTTTCTTTTGTCTTTTTTTTGGTATAATTGTTTCTTGTTCATCATAATCGTCTGTTGATGAACGTTTAGTTGATGCTATTGATTGAGTAATTTTTTTTGACTTTGGTGTAATAAATACTTGTTCGTCTTCTTCATCTTCAAGATTTTGATCTATTGTTGTTATAGGTTTACGTATTCGTGATGATTTTCTTAAACCACTCATAATTAAATTAATATAAAAAATAAAGAAAAAGTTACTTCAAAATAAAATGTCTTACATCATTACATTTACTATTGGAGATTTGATGATTCAGTAGTCGAAGAGTTTTGAATGGGAGTCGCTAGACGTCGATTTTTTCTTATATTTCTATCGTACATGATTTTCTTTATGAAGTCATGTAGAAAATTCTCTTATAGGAAAATTTATCAGATATTAAAAGTTTTATTAGAAATAAAAAATTACACGAAAAGAATAAAGATTTTTTTTGACAAAAATTTCCTAGAATAACCAGAGAAAAATATTATATGCATAAACAATGAAGTTATGAGCTTCTTATTATAGATCATAGAACATATTTTCTTTCATAATAAAAATGACAGTCAACATAAGCTAAATCTTTTTTTTTCTCGATTTTCTGCTCAGATATTAAATTGAGCATCGACTACAAACAGATTCAATGCATGATACAACAACGATACAGTTAATATAATTACACTGTGAAACTTTCAATATATCAGTTGAATGAATGTCTCAAAGTCTTGGCACTCATATATCTGTGAATTACTTAACAGTATCTTAATGTACTTAACTAGTCGTAATACATCAAACACACTAGTAGCAGAGTATCCTGAACTCAGTATATTGAATGCTACAGATTTGTCTTACGAGGGAAGGTCCCCAACTGATCAATCTCTTTTGTGTTGAGACTATGTGCGTTATGTATATACAAATGAGTTATGAATACTCTAATAAAAGTTTGGCCTGCTAGCTTATCGCTACGGAAATACTGCACTTTTATGGTATGTTTCTAAATAAATGCCGTGGTCCCCCTCAGAAAATTCAGAAAAAACGATTTTCGAATTTCGACTTGAAACTTTACATAGAAACAGATCTTACTGAGAATAGTATTTTGTGATAGTTTCAGATCTTGTCGCTGTTCCTATCCGTAGATACAACTATGGTAACTTCATTCAGATAAACCAGAAGCTTTTATGTTCTCATTTCAGAATAGGAACAACGACAAGATCTGAAACTTTCATAAAACACTATTCTGAGTAAGACCTCTTTCTATGTAAAGTTTCAAGTCGAAATTCGAAAATCATTTTTTCTGATTTTCCTGAGGGGACCACGACATTTATTTAAAAACATCCCGTAAAAGTGCAATATCTCCGTAGCAATACACTGGTAACCCGAATGTTTTTCAGGGTATTCATAACTCATTTGTACTTACATAATGCACATAGTCTCAATACAAAAGCGATTGATCAGTTGGAGGGCCTTTCCTCGTTAGTCGTAGCACGACAGGAAGCTAAGCCCCCGAAAAATGTTTTTTTGAAATATGATCCAAAAAGAATGTTGAATTATAGTGGTTGAAATTTGAACCCCTTCCAGAACCATACTTAGCAACGTCTCTTCTTTGTCACAGGCCATGACTGGCACCTTAGCACCGCTTCCCTCCCACCCCGTATCACAGACTGTGACAGATGTTATTAATATACGATCATAGACCGTACACATCAGTAACGTCTCATTAAAATGTATAAATTACTTCTTTACTGCATTTCTGCAGAATTAAGTAAAAGGATGATGAAGAACTGTATCCTACAATAAATAGAATAAAACAAGTTCCGTATGATTCGCAGCAGCAGCTACATCGTGTTTCACATTGTAATCCCACAGGAGATCTGAGACGGACTCAGCCTCATCCGCCCAAAATCATAATGTCGCTGCTAGTTTTTGTATTCTATGTAATAGCGAAATCGTGGTGATTTGTATTTATACTGATAAAAGAAGAATCTAATTATTAGTAGCATGATATTATAGTAACTATAATGAAAGATATCACCAGATGCTTTTTTTAAAATTTATATATCGAAATTCGTCTAAGATCAATATTGAAACTTTCTCAAAAACATCCTATTTTCTTATTATGAAAAGGACTATTCGAAAAAAGTTAAAGCTACTCTAAATGGGTCATAAAAAAATGTTTTCTGTTAAAATTGTAATTGATAATCTGAACATATCATACGCTTAGAAAAATAGAATGTAACTTAGTTCTTTTTCCTAAAAGAAAATCATAACCTCATACGTTTTAAACACAAAAAAAAAATACAGCACATTCACACACACCTTACATTATGGACGGTAAAAATACTGCTCGAATTAAATATTATTTATCGTCGATTTAAGAAAATATAAATCAATGACAGTTTATTTTTCTTCTTCACCAGGCTTATTAGAGTGTTGTTCTATCATATTCTCTAGTATTTTTCGTCGATCATTTTTAATTTTTTCCAAATACTCGCGTAAATCGTTTATGTTTTGGCTTAAATTTGGTATAAGATGTTCTTCATTTGTAGTAGTACAGCGAGTAATTTCTTGTTGAAGATAGTTTTCACCTTCTAGACACATATATGCATGAAAGTCGATCACTGAAATGACATCTTTTATCAATCTTGGATTAGAAATAATGGCACGAATTTGTTGAAGTAGATTAGAAGTTTTATTGGGTGTAAATATAGTAACAAGATGAATTGTCTGCAAATCGTTTAAAGTATGAAGAATAGTACGTATTTGACCATTGATGTCTGAAGGTAGACCATCATCAAGAATATTATCTCTTGCTAGATATACAGTTATACTATATGGTAATCTTATTTCGGTTATAAATTGTAATGCTTCAGCTACATTATTAAAAGCACGTAACCATGTTTGAAATATAGGATTTTGGGCGAAAAAAGGTGCTTGAGACTCTAAAGTCGCATCAATGATTATAAAATATCTATTATCCATTTATGAATATTTTATAATCTAGAATAAAGAATATATGAAATCTTTTAAAACAGTATGATAAATTAAGCAACATCAAAGAAAAAAATAAAAATAAAAGTCAATGTAGTTTTTTCAATAGGTTGTTTTTATTAATTATTCTGTATTATCATTCAAGAATATTTCTGTCTTGATTTTGACATTCTTTCATAAGTTTATAGAATTGTTCCATTTGTAGAAAGTACCGACTGGCTTCACTTGTGTTGTTATATAAATCAATTTGCTCATTAGCTTGTGCAAATGAATCAGATAAATTGTCAGAATAAAGTTGTGCATATAAGTCGTTTTCATTGTAGAATTTTCCATGAATAATTCTTCGATATTGAATATTAAAAGCATTTTTTGAACATATGTACATATTTTTTATAGAATCAATTTGTTCAAATCGATCGATTATATTATCGATATTAGTATCATCCGATTGAAGAATAAGTATCGCGTTGCCTATTTTCGATGGTTCGCTTATAGATTCAAGGAACCAGATACATGGTTCAGTTTGATAGAACGTGATTATTGATGATGATGAGAATTTTGTTTTAAATTCTTCTTCAGACTTCTTTTTCGAAGTCGATGATAGCAGAAGTTGAACGTAAAAAGTACTTTCGTCTAGAGGAAGAATTCAGAAAAATAAATAATAGAAAACAAACTAGGACTCTTAGGTATGCAGTGTTCACGACATTGGGAAGTATCGATCCATGTTATAGGGATTGATGAGCAAACAAAAGGAAAGAATTTGCTCAGTTTCGTTGGGGAAAATTGAAAATTTTTCAAGATTGGAAGGAGATCACGCTCCGACAGTTCCTTCCATTTCACGTTCGAAGCACTTCTGATTTGATGACAGATAAAGACTCTCTAGAAAATTCTGAAGTCATTTTTCGTGTCTACGTGAGATCTCTTACTCTGTAAAAAGAAAAAAAGGTATCATACAGAACCTCCCGTTCAATAGGTGACATTTTACGAACCTTTTGGTCCAAAAATTTCGGAAAAACCGGTTATAGTTGAAAAGGCAAGAATTTTTAAAAAGTTCATAACATGGTACCCATTGAAAAGGTTCTATCTGGTAAGAACTTTTTTAGAGAATAGAGAAGAGCTTAATTAGAGGTAGAGATCTCTGCGTTTAAAGATTTTTCTTGATTATAACCACTGGTAAAAACATAGATTACATAAAACGAATGCGGTTGTAGAAAGACTTGATACAGATTATTGAACTTTTTACCGTGTATATATCAGCATAGTCATATATTGAATGAAAAGCGTACAAGCTGGCAAGTACTTTGGTATCGAATTCAAGGAAATTTTAAGGATTTCTTTGAACATGAATTAGTCATAAAACTATATTAATTATACCACTGAAGTTAATCAGTTCTTTATGTAAGACTTATCTCCTGTATGAATAACCTTCAAAAGAGTTGAAAGAGATTCAAACAACATTTAAAGGTTCAGATTCCTGCGACGATTTTTATCTAAACATCAACTTCAGAAAGAATCATTTTGCAGCAAATCCTAAATCTGACATGGTCCGAATGAGGTTGCTCGACAAAATTATTCTAAAGTCAAACGTGATATAAATTATTATATCAAAAAATATCACCATCAGTATCTAAGTCATTTGAGCTGTATTGGATAATACAGAAATTTGTAGCTATCCCGTTACGTTGATGCATTATCGTTTAAAAACTTCTAAGTAGAAACTCATAAACCAGATATGATTTGAAGCCTGTTACTGATGTACTTCTGACAATGATAATAGAGGGTTTGTGGATCTTAGATCACTTAAAATAGGCAACAAAGACAAAAAACAAGTCCAGGTGTTGTTTGCCTTGATATAACGAATATTGATTCAGATTCAGCTACTATCGTTATACTCTCTCTATATATATATATCAATATACATACACATGCTGAGAAAAAACAATCTTTTATTGTGGAGATTGAGGACAGAAGAACGGATATCTATAGGAGTCTTCTATTCTATAATAAGAGTTCGCTTATCAAGCTTTAGGAACATANCTAATGCAAATAAAACTTCGTCTTCTTCCTCATAAGCCGAATAAAAATTGATATTTGCATATGGTCGTGTATTTTCAATAAGTGGATTAACTTCAAGACTAAATATAACTGGTTTATTTGATGTTATACCTTCAAGTGATGATCCACCAGCAAACATAAGTGCAATATCAAGTGATGATGTTGTAGAGAAAAATGTGTTAATTGATATAAATTTTCCAACTTGTTGGTTAAATTGATCAATTTCTGATGGTGACATTGATTGTCCTCGATAATATGTTAATATAGTTTGTTGTGAATTATTATATGAACTAAGTATTTGATAATGAAGTTCCTCTAAATTTTGATATAAATCAGCAATAAAAAATCGATGTTTTATTATTGATCCAATATCTTCACAACGTAATGCTTGATTTAATATACGATAAAGAAAAGAATCACGTGTATACCATTGTATAGCTGCATTTGAATGATAATTTTGTTCAAAATCATTAATCTGTCTTAAAAATACATCATTATCAATAGATACACGACGAAGTTCATCAATCATTTCTTGTTTAGCTTCTAATATACGTGGTAATTTAAGTACAATTTCAATTACATATCTCTGACGTTTAAATCCATCTTGATCTGAATCTAAAAATGTTACTGGCAATAGATCTCCATGTACCTTGAAAAACGAAAAAAAGAAAAGAAGTTATTAAATAAAAAAAAAAAACAAAGAAAAAATTTTCTTTAGTAGATACTTTTTGTTGATTTTGAGATGGTAATAATTCAATATTTGTGGCAATATCAAATTTAAAATGTTCAAAAAGTGAATCTAAATTTTTATAAATTCCTCGTATTCTTGGAAAAATACTTATCCATCGAGATGGCATATCATTTTGATTTGAATATAAATAAGCTGCATATATATTCGATACATGTTCATATGTAAATAATTGTTCAGCTGAATAATATGATGATATTAAATATATTTTTGGATTATATTGTAATTGTTGATTTAAAATAAATTTTTGACATTCATTTATGTTTGAAAATGTATTCCATTGATTTGGATAAATTATTGATTGAAAACGTTTTTCCATTGAATAGAAATCACTATCAAGCCATATATATATTCGTTCAAATTTATTTGAATAATAATTAATTATTTCATTTGATTGATTCGATGAATATGCTAAACTATATGTATCATTATCTTTTTCATTGAAGGTTGATAAATTATTAACTTCTTCATGACGATTGAATTCTAATGATGGAAGATGAGTTTCTCGTATATCTTTACTATCATTCACTGAAACCGGTTTATCGCGTCTAGTTAATTTGAACTAAAATAGAAATTTTTCAATCAATAAAATTATATTTCGAAATAAAAATGACATATCATTTAAAGTTTACTATTTTATTAATTCTTTCATGAACTACAGCGTGTCCCAAAAGTAACGATACCGAAAGAAAAAAAATTGAATATCTCCATTGCGGCTCGAGCAAACGAGCTGGTTTTTNTTCTGTCGTCTTTCTACATGATACATATCATATGTGTGTTCAAAGAAACACATGTATTCTTCGATGTGAAAATATTTTTTTTCGCACTGAACTAGTGTAGTTAGTAATTCGTGTACAGCTGATTATATAGATCAAAACGCAAGAGAGAGAGAAATCTAGATTTTCTTCAGGTTTATATAAAATGAGAGAAAATGTCGGGATTGAAAGGGTTAAAGACAGAAGAAATTAATTATTTGCTTTATCTTTGAAAGGGGAGATAGGTACTTCATACTACTTTAATATAACATATTTTATCTAAAAGCGACGAAAGCGAGTAGTGACGTTTTTCTACTCTCTAAAATCTTTCATATTTTCTGTGTTGAAATAAATCAAGTGGCGACACTCGATCAATTTTTTAGTCACATCCTGTACTTCTCTACGAGATCAACAAAAACCTGACAATCTTCCCAGAAGTATGATTGTGACTTGAAAACTTAGTCGACAGACATCACGCAATACCCTATTACAATAATATGAGGAGTCGCCACTGAATCGATTTCAAGACAAATGGCTGAAATATATTAGAGGTGGACAGATAACCTTGTGCGCTCTCATTTTTAGAATGTTCGATACCTATGTATGAATACTTCGAGTATATTGTCCGGTTCTAAATCAGTAATTCATATTTCATGCAGTAATATATAACTAGATGACATTCGATTTTCGCTCGACTACAAAATGCGATGCGTAGTTTCCAATGCTGACAGACGGATAAGTCGACATTTTCTGAAAAAAATCAATACTCATTTCTACAATTGAATAGGATACATTTTCCTTGGAAAGATAACTATTCTACACTAGAATCACAATTTCCTTTTTATCGCTGCAAATCGGTTAAGTTACGTTTGGATGCATTAAATGATCGATTCCATCGGTCCAATGCTAAAGATGAAATGCATAAAGAAAAGAATTTCTTCTTCTTCTCCTTCGACATAACTGACGTCATAGATATTTGCGGAAGCAGTAGTCGATGTTGATGGATTAATAGTTATTTCAAAGAGAATACCTATCAGATCGTGATCACTTAAATTACTGTGAGTAAAAGCAAAAGATACTTCTTGATCAAGACTTGTCGACAAGAAATTATTAAATGATAAAAGTTCATCTTGTATCTTGACTAATTTATCAAAATTGGTGTGTGACAATCCATGATCGCGATAAACAGTAAGTGAATTTAAAGACGAACTTCCAAAGAACTGTTGAGTATGAAACTCCGCGATGTTGTTGTAAAGATCTTGGATAAAAGTCCCATACTAGTTATGAGATTGACATTCATCATTCATAATGATCGATTGAGCATTGAAAACAAAACAAAAATTGGCTAGTATACCACCGAATTGGAAGATACAAATGGAATACTTGTTCTAGTTGGTCGACGGGTTTCAGTTCGCTAGCTCCGTCCTCGAAAAGTTGACGACAATACGGAACAAATTCATCAAAATGTTTTTTTCTTGGAAATCAATCGTTAATAAAACTTCTTTTAATATTTTTGTGTACATAAATGAAAGATATAATTAATCTAGGTTTTGTCTGCGATTTTTTCTCCTAGTGGAAACAATGCCAATGATGGTCAAGTTTTGATCATATCTGTGAGCAACTTGTTGAACTACTTTACAGATTGAGGCAATATCTGTAAACATATCGTTTGCTTTTTGTCATCGTTTCATCCAAACTTCATGTTGAGCATAGTCCTTGCTCCAAAATAAATTGTATTGATTTGTGAAATGTCATGAACGATATAAACTGTTGTTTGTTCCATTGCACTAGAAACGATCAGAAATTTTTTTTTTTCTTCTGGAAGTGCATGCTATTTTATCAATGAAAGGAAATAAAAATGAAATGGATTGATTTTATATAGATTGTCGGATGTTTTTTCTAGATATTTCTATTTGTTTTCGATGGTTATTGTCATCCAAATTGTTTTTTCCCTTTTCGTTTCACTTGAGTACTTTACTCCTATTTTCTAACGGTGGTTGTTTGTGTAGTGTCATAAGACAAAAAACGAGTGAAAAAAAATGATTCATTGCAATGTAGTTTCATACGCTGCGTCACATTTCACTTCACTTATATTATGCGTAGAGGTTTTCTCTCTCATTCTCATTATGTTGCTGTAACTCGAGTGAAATCCTTTAATGTTCCTGCACTAGTTCCTTGATAGATCCAATAATGATTCTGCAAGAATTTACTGTCAGGATTCAGTTAAGATTCTGAGCAATTTACTAAGGTGTATAAAACCAGGAATTGGTTTAGAAAATCATAAATCCTGAAATAAACATGTCGCAACAAAATGTCAAAGATTTTGACAGGTTTCGAAACAAGATCTTAAAAGAATCCTGAGCAGCTTTCGAAAATTTTTGGATCAGAATCCTGCTAGAATTTCGATCATATCTAATTGAAAAAGAACTTTCTCTATACATCTTACGAAATTTTACTAGCTTTACTTGAGGATATTATCAGATATTCTGATAGGAATCTTGCACGATTTGAAAACAAGAGCAGAAGAGAAATGAACACATAGAGTATCGGTCTCTAAACATACAGTTTACGTACCGATCAGTTTATTTGACTGGAGCGTCCCATGCTATTATATGTAACTACAAGTTTCTATATCTTGAATTTAGACTAAATTGTTAGCGCTTATAGCTGAATTTTATGTGAAGACAAAATATTTCACAAAAAGTTTAAATGTATAACATCATTTTAAACACTGCTATTAGTTTACAACAGTTCATTATTTTTTATAAAATTTCAATGCAATGTAAAAAGTTTATTTCTAATTTTTTTCTACAAATAATCAAAACAATGAACAAACTTCACCAAATGATTTGTCTCTTACTGAAAATAGCTATTTAATAAAAAGATTAGTGTAATAGCTAAAATGAAATTGATACCCCTAATTTAATAATTTTTTAAGCTTCTTTTCAGAATAAAAGCGCAAAAGTAACTGATATTTCTGACTTGAATCTCATATCACTTTTAGCATAAATGTTTAAGAGATGTGAAAATAAAAGTTTTTGAAATTTCGCTATAAGCTTTATATTTGTTTATTCCAAGATCTAATCATGATCAGGATAAAATCCTGGTAGATTCCTGAATTCTGTTAGGCTCAGAGCAAAACGTAATAAAAGTTTTCAAAAATTCTTCTATTTACATTGATGAAATTTTACTTAAGATTGATATTAAAATTCATGTTGTGATCTAAAGATTTACAAATTTTTGACCAATCCTGAACAAAAATCAGTTAAAACCTTGATAAAAACTTTACGTTTATCTTGACAAGGATCCGAATGCGAATCAGTTATAAACCTTCATATTGACACTTGAAATAAGTGTTCGTATTAATTTTTAATTCACCACCAACAGGATTATGTTTCATTTTGTTTCGACTAATATTCTACAAACTTTCATGTGATTAAAAATAGAATCACAGAAGGCATTTAAGGCAGATATAGAAAAGGCAAATAAAACTAATGTTTGTAAATAAGATACATTTTCACCGTTACTAATATAAGTCTATAACTGATCACATCTGATTAACCGATGTTTCTTCTATTCTTTGCGGAACCTAGATCGTTTTTCTGCTTGGTTAAGCATATCGCTAAGAGTTGAGATGAAGAAAAAACCAGAAGAAACTAGGAGAACGGCTCCAAACCTAGCATTTCCTTGAACGAATTAGAAGATTTGGTTACCTTGTCTAGAACTATTAATAGTAATCTTTTAGGAACTCATTACTTAATAAACGGTTAATTAAATAAACTCAAATTAAAAAAAACAATTGTCAGTACGGTCCAATGCAGAGCCGAAGTGTGTAGCTCTCAACTTCTGATTGCTATAAAATTATCAAATAGTGTCTGAATGGCTAAAATAATTTATCAAAAAAAAATGCCAAATAAATGAATAAATCAAAATTAGAAGAATTTTAATGGTTAATAGAAAGCAGTAAATATCATTTTATGCTTCGTTTCGTTGGTTCGACTAGTATATTAGTCCGCTATACATATTAACTTAATCGTTCAAAAAGCTTCCAAGTATATCATCTATCATCCTTTCTCTCGACGAACTTTGCCACATATCTTTGAATTTTGTCTAAGCTAATAGTTCAATTTATTCATACTTTTCCATGTCGATCCTATTCTGACAATGTTAGATTCATAATATCACTGGTCTACTGATTGACATCTACAATAAGATTGTTTCGTTGCATTAAATACCAAAACTCGTCATATTTAGACTAGCTAGAATCTACAGTAGAAATCTTAAGTTCATAAAATTCTTTGGAAGACTCTAGAAAGTCCCAAAATGATCTTAACACTGTCATAACTGACGTACCCTTTTCCATTCTCAATAATCTTTGGCTTTCCTTCTCTGGGCCTCGGTTGCTAGAACCTAAGGGGATAGTAGTAAAAACCTCAATTTCAACTTGCACTCACTATATTTTATTCAAAAACATATGTAAGTTCCACAACAATCAATATTGAACATAAAATAGGTTCGGATGAAAACAAATAATTATGAAAGGTATAATCTTGTATTTTTCTGTCATAATGAGTGATTGTTGTATAAGATTGTCATTAAATAAAATTGAACAATGCTTCCGAAAAAAGCCAGGTAAATTAGATTCAAAACAGCTATCTACATAGAAACGAGCGGCACGAATATGATTGGTGATTATCTAACAAATAAATGATCGTGGTAATAGTATGGAAAAAGAAAACAACAAATCATAGGTCTACAGAATGCAAAAAAAAAAGATTTATGTTATATTTTGTGTGTGACAAATCAATATTAAACATAATACTGTTTTTATTCATAATACTCAATTTTGTATCAATTTATGATAAAAATTTTTTAATTTTTCTATAGAAAGTCAACAAAACATGAAAATAATCTTTCTATAAAATTAATCTAAGAAATGCCATTATCAAGTTTATCTGAAGTTGTCCCTGATAAAGTGCATGTTTTACTTTCACCAGAACGGTTTGTAATTGAAGTTCCACGAGGTTTATATCATTCAATGGCAATAATAATGCTTATTGTTTGGTATATTTCATCAGCTGTAACATTATTTTCAAATAAATATATATTAAGTCATTTAAATGGTGATGCTTTTTCATTGGGTATTGAAATAGAAAAATAAAAACATACTTTTCTTTTAATTAAAATTTCTTTTATTTTTCTCTTTTTAAATAAAGGTACCAATCAACTTGTTATATCTGTAATAAGTGGTTATATTCAAATAAAATTTATAAATAAATATCATAATCAATTAGGCAAAAATCCACTTATTATGAAAAATGCATATCGTGATATGATGTTTATTGGTGCCTTTCGTTCTGTGACTGTTGTTTTAGGTTTAATTGCATTGAAATACATAGCTGTATCATTTGTAGCAACAATAAAATCATCTTCACCATTATTCACTGTTATTATAAGTCGAATTATGCTTGGAGAAAAAACAAGTTAATACAAATGTTTTTCAATATTTATTAAATATTAAGTTCAAAATGATTTTATTTTAGGTTATTGGACTAAATTTTCAATGATACCAATAACAATTGGGCTTTGTTTGTGTAGTTCATTTGAATTAAGTTTTAATTTATTTGGATTTTTATGTGCATTAGGCACAAATATATTTGATTGGTAAGATTTTTTTTTTGTGTTTTATGAAGCATAAACTAAAACAAGGCGTGTTGAAGTATAAGACCAGATTATTAGACGTTCCCCCATAGATTGTAATGGACACTGGAGCAACAATTTATTATAAATTGTGACTAAAGATGTAAGAGATCAGGTTTTACTAGACCCAATTATACCCTTGACAAATCTAATCTAGAGAAAACTAATCCAGAATTTATTCATATTACATTAAAAAAAATACATCAATACTTTTATTTATAAGAGAACCCCATCCGACTGATAATCTCTGTTTGAGTTCACATGTAGAATTCATAATGTAGATAAGAAGTCTGAAAGGATCCGTGTCATTAAGCCTTTTTTCTCGAGTTATAGCCATTTTACTGAACCTTCAATCTATTGTAGGATATACTGAGAAAAATTGCAATAGGGAGTTTTGGCTTAAAATTCTCCTCAACAATAGTTCTCATGACTTTTATGGCATCCTGGAAATTTCAGCTCAAACGAATGTTTTCTTTCTGAGATAACACATTTGCAAAAAACCGTTACTTTCACACAAGAATTCCATAAGAGGTATTGTTGAGGATAATTTCAAATTGAAACCCCTTATTGTGACTTCTCTTGTGATATCATGTAATACGCTGACAGTTCACTGAAACGGTTATTACTCGAGAAAAAAAGCCTCATGACACGAACTCTTTGAAGATTTTTATCTATACTATGAGTCCTAATCATTAGTAAAATATGAGCTCAAACGGAGGTTATCTAGCGAATGGCTTCCCTCGTTAGTTGACTCTACTAGTGTTTTGGATCATTTCGCTTCAGTTATGTTCTGATTGATATGATTTATAAGATAATTTGCTTCAGGGTACTTCTCTTTCTTTTCCGTAGTTTCTGGAGACAGCTCATCGAGAAGAATTTGAAATTTTTAGAACCAATAGATCTTGACGTGTAAGGTAAAAGTTGTTATACACTCAGCATTTATGAGTATTATCTTCTATGAACAGCTAGGATTACAATGACCTCAATTTTCGCACCCATCTCTCCAATATGCTATGCTCGATCCAACTGAAAATTTTTTCACAAGCACTAAACACTGTTTGGGATGTATATTTGTTTTTGTTCTTTGAATAAAAAGGTCAAATTTGAAAAAAGCTTGTGCTTTTTTAATAGACCTTTTTTTTCTAAGAACTACCACAAATCAGCAGAACAATATTTTTTTTGAATTAAAAAAATATCCATTTCAAACAGTGTATAGTATATATGAAAAAAGTTTCAGCTCGATCAGAGGCGCAAGGTCAGAGAAGCGGCGTGTTTCAGAACTCTTTTTTTCAAGAAAAAGTCAGATTGAGAAGAAAGTGTAACAATGTATAGCTTTCGATAATTTCTCAAATTTTTTAACGTTTACAGACAATTTTTCGATCTTAACACTGGCGATGGAATTTTTTGGAAAAAAATAAAATTTCTCTTTTTCTATACATTTGAACATAAATCAATCTACATTTCTATTTAATAAAAAATTTTTATAAATCTGCGTGTTCAGAAAATTTTCAAAGCCCTATAGAGACAGAAACATTTCTTACAAATGTTTTCGATTTTTGCAAGTTTTCCTGTAAAAGTCAATTGTGTTATATTTATTATGTGTTACTGACTATAAGAATAAAATAATCTATAGCTCACCTTAAGGTAACCCCTCCCCTTTCTGGAATTTCTTGAGAATGGCTCATCAGAAAAATTTGAAATTTTCAGGGCAGATAGATCTTGATGAGTACAGCAAAAGTTGTTATAGACTCAAAATTTTCTGATGCTGTCTTCGATGAGATAATAGAGTCCCAGCGTTGAAAAATGGCCTTATTTTTCGCCCCCATTTCTACAAGACGGTATGTTCAATTGAGCTGAAATTTATTTTTTACAGGTACTAGACACTGTTTGGGATGGGGTATTTTTTTTAGTTCCTTTTTATCTTTTGTTGTTTCAATAAAAAAGTAAAAATACCGAGCCTACTCTAAAAAAAACGCTTGTTTCTTTTCATAGTGCTTTTCTTGTAAAGGCTACAAAAAGTCAACAAATTGATATTTTTCGAAACAAAAAAAAGTACCCACCACAAACAGTGTCTACTATATGTGAAAAAAATTTCCGCTCGATCGGACTTACTACGCCGGAGAAACGTGGGTGAAACAGTACTTTTTCTGTTAAAAATTTGATTTTGACAAAAACGCGAAACAATTTAGAATTTTTGCTATTTTCGTTATGTAAATTTGATTTCTTCTCGAACTTTTTATAGCTTAACGACAATATTCGGGTCTCAAAATGTAGTCAGTAGATAAATACCACTTGGCAGTGTAAAACGGTCACAAAAAACCAAAAATTTTGAGTCAGGAAAGGGGTGAAGGTATCCTTAAACCAACAAGGTTCCTGATAAATGCTTTCATGAAAACCTATATTACATATGAATCTATATGTTTGAAAATACTAGGAAATCATTGTGATCTCACGCGAAGTCACTCGTCCCCAATGGGTTGATATGTACTCAGCAGATAGTATAATAGGCAGAAAAAAACAAAAAAAAATGGGTCACAAAAGAGAGGGTTGGTACCCTTAAAACCATAGAATATTTAACTATAATCTTCAGCTTCAGCTAGGACAACTGTTTTTTCGTAGTCTCAGTCTTGACAACTTCTCTTTCCCGCGGTCATGTACATATGTAATCGTGATAGACAATGCATGGAATGTGAAATTTAATTGTTTATTGTTCTCAGTTATGAAAAGAGGCA